GTACTGGTCTCACAGTTTCATACAAGCTCACTTGGAAACAGGTAAACATTAAACTTCTCAGCATGAGCTTGCATTTTTGCAATCACATACATGTGACTGAAAGTCAATGTAGCAAGATATGTAGTATGACCAACTCTTTACTTAATCCTTTTTTTTGTAATTATTTTCTTCTTCAACTTTTTTTTTTTTGTTGCTCAGTACCTACCAGGTGATTCCTGTAAGTAAAGAAAGTCTCCTCATCTTAGGAGTTCTGACCAGATCCAGGTATGAATATTTTCTGCTTCCTCTGTCAGTAACTATAATTTTTGACAAATCCTAGATAATGAAAAACAAAGATGTTATGTCAGCAAACTATACAAAAATTGAGTAAACAAACTGTTTTTGAATTCACATGCATTTTGGCCATTCAACTACATGGCAGGGGCGGTGGGTAACAAAATCACCTCACAGCAAGAAAGTTGCGGGTTCGAGCCTCGGCTGGGTCAGTTGGCATTTCTGTGTGGAGTTTGCATGTTCTCCCCATGTTTGCGTGGGTTTTCTCCGGGTGCTTTTTTAATAAAGTGACATCACATACTGGCATATTTAAACTAACATCCATCCAAACTGAAGGATACAACCATGTCCTGCCCTACAATTGTTTTCCTTTTCATTTTTTTTCACTTTCACATGCAAACTTTAATCTGACAATAATTTAAAAAATAGATGTTGCTACTTATTTTACATATACAGGTACATTCCATAATATAAGTAAAATACATTCCACATCACAATTCACACTGATGGATGTATACTAAATCACTGCCAGCAAAAACATTGTTCCAGTTGACCAAGGACCACAAAACAAGTCTCATGTTTGGGTATATTTTTGTCAATAGCTAAAACTACATTGTAGGGTTCAAAATTATTAATTTAACTTTCATGACAAATATCATTAGAATATTAAGAATAATTAAAATTATAAAAATTATAAGAATTATAAAAGATCATGTTCCTTCAAGACATCTCCTACTGTAAATATATCAAAACCTTTTTTTTAAATAGTAATTTGCATTGCTTAGCACTTTATTGGAAAAATTGAAATGTCTTGGTTTTATGATGTTTTATTTTTATTTATAGGAAATACACAGATATTCTCTCACCTCAGGTTTTATTCTTGCTGTAACTTCCTTTTTGTGGTTCATGGCAGCACATTTCTTGAGATAATAATGAGCTTTATCTGCCTTCCCATTAACTATAAGCCACCGAGCAGACTCTGGAACCCACCTGAAATAGCATAACATAACATATAACATAACTTAAAACATAACATATAACATAACATTTAACATTTAACATAACACATAACATAACATCACATCACATCACATAAAATAACCAAACATATAACATAACATACAGTAACATATAACATAACATAACATAACATAACATAACATAACATAACATAACATAACATAACATGACATAACATAACATAACATGACATGACATGACATAACAGTACTAAACCAAACAAAATTTTAAATTGGAAGGAGCAACATCTGTTTTTCATCTTTAAGCACAGTTGTGGAAAGGATCTCTTTTGATTTAGATCTGCTTGGTATTGGTTTATTTATACTCACCACCAAGTGATTATGGATATAACATTGGGCAATGAGATGGCAACTGTTAGCCATCTCCAGTCTCGAATGAAGTATGCAATCACAGGGAAGCCCATGAAGCCAAATGTCCAAGCGAGGCTGTCAATCACCCCGACCAGCTTTCTGTGCTCAATGCTCACCCACTCCACATCTGATAAAACAACGAAAGAACAAGAACAAATAAACACACTCCTCACTCTGATGTGTCTTCTTTTCAGAAATGTATTTGTGTGTCGCTGAAGTTTAGAACAACTAGAAAACCATAATAAAAAAACATATTTTATAAGAGACTGGTTCTCACTGAGTACAGTGGAGATGATGACACTGCCAGTGATGGTGAACCCAGAGAAAAATCTCAACACTGCAAACATGAGGAGGGAGGACGACAAAACGCTACATAATCCAAAACCCATTCCTAATATATAAGACACCAGCAGCATTGGCTTGCGTCCAAACCTGTGTAGAAATAGACAAGTAACTATTTAAAAACACACTATTGCTAGTGCAAGAACAGCAAAAACATTCTAGCATACAGTATATTGCACAGGAGTCAAAATCTCTTTTATGCCAAAAACCATTTGAATATTAAATAAAAGATCATGTTTCATGAAGACATTTTGTAACTGTCCTAAATGTTAAATACATCAAAACATAATATATTTATATATGAGAATGATGGGGATATGGAGGGGCCTAATGCCTTTGATAGTAATCATCATTTCGAATTTACAGTAACCTTTTGCTTCTTTGTTTTATTAATGAGCTACAAAAAAGCCAACTGAAATTAATTAATTCAATAAATTCTGTAAATGAATCAGACTTTTAAAATGTGACAGATACATTTTTGAGCAAATCAAAGTAAGCTTGACTAGTGTATTCAGCATTGAACTTGTGTTCTAAATGAGATTGTTTTATGTTTTACAATAATAAGATCACTATAAAATATCATAACATATACTGCATTAGTTGATATGATTTAAAGAAACATTTTGTAGTTATGTTTAAATATTACAGAAGAAATGAGAAAATTACCCATGCCAAATTTAATATATACCGTTTAATACCATTCTTTATAGAAAAAGGTTAGGGCACTCCTGATTTAGATTATGTAAAAAGTTTTACATAAAAAAATGGACTCTTTTGACAGGGGTTGAGGGTGTCATACTGTACAGTTAATCCTGAAATTATTCATACCGCTGGTAAATTCTAACTTAACATTACTTTATTCAACCAGCAAGTTTCTTTTTGATAATAGATAATAAGACGATGTACAAGAAGAATCACTGTTAAAAATAAATATATATTTCTCAGCTTTTATTTACATTTGAACAAAAAGTTCAAGTCCCAATTTAAAAAAAAATTGTATGAAAAAAAGAAAATTTTAAAAAATTTGAAAAAAAGTATGTGTCTCAATTTGGTTACTGCTGAACAATTGAACAATTATATATATATTTTCTGCATCATTTATAAACTTCCAAAGTAATACAATTGCACCAACATTGCACTCAGGCTCCCAAAAGCAGCAGCACCAAACATCACCCCAAGGAAGAAGATGGTGGTTGTCAATTTCCCCAATGCTCTTTTGTCACATACTAAATCCCACTGCAATAAAACACCACAAAAACAGAAAATAAGAGACAGAGGGGGAACACTTACAGAAGAGTTAAAGGAATAAAAAAGCAGAAGTCTTACCTGTGTGGCGAGAGTGCTGATGAAGGTGCTGTTATCAAAGTGCCATCCATTCTGACACTCCACTACTGGAAGATCTGAGCTGCTGGACGAGTTTATCAGCAGCTGAAACTGAGGATGAGAGAACATGTGACAGGAAGCAGGAGTCCCGTCTTCCTGTGCTGGAACACCGACAGTCAGTCTCTCCTCCTGAGATAGATTCTCAAAGACGCCGTCAACATCCAAAGAGCTGATGTTGCAGTGATGAGATGGGATGGCGGCGATAAAGTTGCCTAATAGGAAGTGGCACCCGAGACTAAATCGACCCAAGAAGTTGATGCACAGGACCATCTTCTGGAACCTGCCGAAGCCATTGAGCTCCGAGAGCAGATCTTCAAATCTCATGGTGTTTGACCTGTTTGAGGGTTTGTCTCACCTGGCTGGGTGCTCACAGTCATAAGACTCTCTCAGAGAAGAAAATGTTTAACAAGGGGACGTCTAAAATGCTTAGAACATTTGTAAAAATTAAACTCTTCAGTTGAAACTCTACATTGTGCTGGTTTTGCAAACGATTTAATTCTTGCTTTGTCATCCTGAACTTATTTTTTTGACTTATTTGATTTTTAAGGTAAATGGTTGAAAAAAAAAAAATATGTACTGAATTTAAACAGACAAATAAAGTTGAACATTACTAAATTTAATGTGTTTGTTTAAATTCAGCACATATAATTTGTTTGCAGCCACTTACCTTAAAAATATAATAAATTCAATGAATCATTTTTTTCAGTGTTGTTTAAAACTATGGGAAAAAAATCTCTTATTCTCTTTTTTTCTGGATTATAGTTGTGTTTGAGTAAACCATTCTGCAAATTGATACTAGTGAAAATTCTTACCAATTTAAGTGGTTTCACAAATTAATTTCGAGAGGAGCATGCGATATGATTGAGCATGGTTGGTTTCTCAATAATAATACAATCAGATTGATCCAAGCTTACAATAAATAGAATAATTTTACCCTTCTGCCTCATCTTCATTTTGAAAGAATTCCCCCTTCCATCCCATCTCCTTTTCCTCCCTTTTTTAAGGGGAGCTCTCGAGACCTACCTGATCTCGAACCCCCTTTATATATACTTATTGACCAGGCAGGAGCCTTGGGCTTAATTATCTCCGAGTTCAGGGTTCTTTCCGAGGACAGAATGCCAAACTTGCTACTAATGTCAAGCATATCTAAGTGTGAACTCTTAAAATCAAAAATGTTGAAACTTGGAGAATTTGTGTCTTTTGTTTTGTTCAAAATAATAAACATGGTATTGTTATGTTCATTTTTAGATAACACAATTCCAGGGGTCTAACTTTATATAGGAGAGCAATAATTGGTGGATTAACCCTCATTTTAAATCATAAATAAAACTAAACACATCATCTAAATCCTCAACTGTACACTTATAAAAGAAAAAAAAACATATATGTTTATTTGAAATATGCATTCAAAAGAAAACAAATATTACAAAAATTTTAACAATAATCTCAGCATATAAATAATACTGTACATGTATGATGTACAGACGATAGATTTATATTTGAATATATTTGAAACTTATAGTAATGAATAAAATTGTTTTATATATATATATTACAAAAGCTATACATATATGATTTAACAAAGGTACATAATACCAAGACAATACAATAATGAATAAAATCTTTTATTAGATTCATTTTCTTCTCGAGTCAAATTCATTTTGTCTCCTTGAAGGTTTCCAATCCAGGCTGATATTCCAGTTGTGAACACACTGATCTTTTCCTATAATAAAAACATATAAAAAAGAAAAAAATTGATTCAATATCAAATAAAAAAAATGTTTAATAAAAATAGAATGTATTTCTATGTAAAAAAAAAAAATTTGTTCCTGCCTTCATTTTTCAGTCGAACTTTTCTAGTCATCTCAACTTAAACCAGTCAAACTGACTAAAATATTTTGTTAAACTTTGTAAAGCTACGAAACATTTAGTTGAACCCTGATTAACGTATTAAATTAAGTTAAAGTAACATAAAATCATTTGTTGTTGCAATTTTTTTACAGTGTAGTATATTGAGTCATCATTCACCTAGTTTTCTCAATGTCCTCAATAGTCTCAGGAAGCCGCACATTGTGGGTCTCAGGAAGCAAAAGTGCAAGGAGGCCTGCAACAATGGCAACAGAGCAAAACAAGACCTGTGGCAGAGGAAGCCAGACCTCATCCAGGAGACTCACGAGAGGAGCGAGAGACACACCCACACGGCCAATGAACGAGCTGTAGCCTAATCCATTCTGCCTGTATTTAAACAAGCACATATACATATTCATACATACATAGATACATACATACATACATACATACATACATACTGTACATACATACATACATACATACATACATACATACATACATACATACATACATACAGTACATACATATTCCTTTGCTGAACCAAAATTTTTTAATTCATTTCACTATGTACATAAACATTTAGTTTGAAATGCAACTTATTCTACACACAAATGCATTAATTTCTTAAATACAAACATAGTAAAAACTGTTGTTGCAATATAAAAAAAAATTTATTTTTAATGAATTTTAATTTAAAAAGTAATCTTATTTTTATTGTTGTTGATTTTGATGACTTAGGTTTAGGAAACAGCTACAGTACCATTCTAAAGTATAATTCAATGTATTTTTTTTATTCCTCACTATAAATAGTTTTGTTCAAGAGTGAAAGTAAATACATTTATAATAAAAAAGATGGCAATTAAATAGGATTTTGAACTTTTTTTTAACCAAAAAAGTACATTTTTAAATTGAAAAAGGTGCTTTTCGAAAGTTGAGTTTCCACAATACTATGAAACAAGAAATTAGCACTAATAATTGTAATAAAAAATATTAGAGATATTGTACCAATAATAACTGATCATAATAACAGCAAATCATCATATTTAATGATTTGTGAAGGATCATGTCACAATGAAAACTAGTGTAATGATAATGAAAATTCAGCTTTGAATAGCAAAAACAAATTCAGTTTGAGTGTACATTCGATTACTTATTTAAAATTGACAATTTTTCACAATTTAACAGATTGTACTGTATATTTGATTAAATAAATTCAGCCTCAGTGAAACATTAATATTATAGTAAACCCGAAATTATTTATACAGTATCCCTTGCAAATTCTGGTTCAAAGGTAAATAAAAGCATAAGCTGCTATTATATTATATATGTGAAATATATATGCAATATATAAATGAAATATATAAATGATGAACAACTGACCGTAACACAGTCGGGTAGAGTTCAGTGGTATAGAGAAAAACACATGTGAAAGAGGCCTCTGAGAATCCTTTACCCAGTACAGCGATGACAGTACGAGGCACCCACAAAACTAGAGACAAACAAAGAGAAAGACAGAAAATTTAAAATAATAAAATTTATGTTCTATGAAAAGGTTAATATCACTCAAGCTATAAAAAAACATACTACAGTGTGTCTCTATAATAGCACTAAAAACAACAACAACAACAACAACAAAAAGATTTTATATTAAATGTAGTTTATTAAAATTGTATGCAGCTACTTTTGAAAAATACCAGGTAATGCAATTAAGACATAATATAGAAGTATAATAAATTTTGAAATGAAATAAAAGGAAGTTTTTCCTTAGGTTTTTATAGATTACTGTTCTGAGGGAAAAGGTCTGTGATTGTGAGAAATAACCTCAAAGATGTGAAATATTTACTGACAATTGTGAGAATAGCAAATATTTTTGAAGTATGTGTAATCAGCAGGGGTTGTTTAACCTGAGTCAATGAGTGAGAATCTATTCATAAATATCCCACTTATAGTTGGATTTGCATTTTACATTGGGATAGGGTGAAGCCATTTAAAAAACTTTAACTTTAACTTGACACATGAATTTGCCTTAATAAATGAACAAATATGATTGACATGCTGAACACCTGCCTGTGATATCACAATGAATGAGTTTTTCAGTCTGTTAGGACTGTGACATTCCCATTAATTATTGTTCATTTATGTAAATAAACTAAAAAGCCAGACACATTGCAGTGATGTTATAATAAATGACTAACGTGTAAACACAAAACATTTACATATTAAATTCAATGAAATGACACATTATCACAACATCATAAAAAAGGTTTTCTGTAACTGAATAATCAGGTGTTTGGCTTGAGAAAGCAAGAACAGACAGTCCACATAGGCGTTTTAAAATCTTGTAGTTAGAAATAGCATTTCTCAAAACTTGTTAGGGGCTTTCACACCAAATAGTTACAGGAACACGCTGTAAACATGTTCCCTGACAACTAATTTCCCTCCTAGACAATTTTTCTGGTTGTATTATTATAAATGATGCAAGATCACTACCACTAGAGGACTGTGTCTTCATTGTGTGTCAAGGGTTTTGTGATAATGGAGAAGGAATCAATGGGATAATTAATTCAAAAGTGAAAATTAGACAGTTACTGTATTTACACACCCTCAAGCCACTGAAGATGTAGGTGATTTTATTCTTCAGTAGAAAATTTGTCAAGATTTTTAGCTGAACCTGTTTTTGACATTAAAAATGTCCAAAATGATCTTTTTGGCTCCTGATGATACACTGAGCTCTTTTGAAGTGATACAATTGGCCTGAGCAAGAGGTGTAACATTATATATAATATTATTAGCTTTAATCCAAAAGTGTAGTGAGGACAAGCTCTCAGTCACATGATGTATGTGCAAGCTTTCTGTTGCTTTAGATATTAGTTCATTAATCTAAATGGAGTCTTTATAGCATCTTGTATTTTATTAAAATCTTTAATTATAGCATCTTAGATATTCGCACACAGGTCAGGATCATTTTGACAAAAATGTGCTTCTTTGTTCTCTTGTCACTTCACACCTAAGTGACTGGAAGCTTGTGCATATGATTGATTAAGGCTAATAATATTGCAAACAATTTTTAATTTCTGCACTATTTGTGTTTGATCTCAAAAGCGGATGACCATTGACTTGCATTTTATAAGTCACAAAGGACCACATATTCAGCTGACAACCTTCTACAGTCACTTACTTATTCAATGGTCTGAGGGTAAGGCAATAACTGTCATTTAACATTTTTAGATGAACTATCCCCAAGTTATGCAACTGAAACATCCTTTGACAAATCATCAGTGCTGAAAAATAACTAAAAAAATAAAGCAAAACGAAGGCCACGTGTAAATGTTGCAAACTTGGTATACACCGGTATTTTGTATGGTGTACTTGCAAAGTATCTCCTATTGATCTAGATTAGACCCTGTTCTGAAGCAGGAGCTAATTTAGTTCCCCCAAATGATGTTACAACAACTAAAATCATACCTAGTTCCTGTGGGTACTTTGTCCAATAGTTCTAGGAACTGAGAAAAAATTCCTACAATGTGAAAGCCTCTAATAGTTGTTTGTAATCCTTTACCTCTGGGAATGAGGACAGTGATGCCAATGCAGACCCCTGTTGTAATCATCGTTCCCACCTGACTGTATCTCCGGCCCAGTTTATCAAGGCACACATATGCAACCAGTTTTGATGGCAGCTCTATGGCACCGTAAATAAACTGAGTCAGGTAGAGGTTCAGCCCAAAGCCGCTGATGTTAAAACTGATGCCGTAGTAAGTAAACGCCACTCCAAACCTGATAAAAAGTATAAAATAGTCATTTACATTATTCAGAGCTGAATTTGAAGATTTGATGATTATAAACTCCACAGAAAACATTCCCACCAGGTGATTCCTGTAAGCATAGCCAGTTTCCGCATCTTTGAAGACCTCACAAGATCCAGATATGAATATGTCCTGTCACCTCTGTCAGCTATTATAACATTAGCGAGGGTCTAAAAGGACATTGTTTCAAAGCTTTAAAAAAAAACGCAGCAAACCTCATCCTTTTCTTAGTGTTGTATGTTGAATATTTACCTCTGGTTTGATATCTCTGAGGTTGTGTTGTCTATTATTGACCGAAGCACATTTGCTCAGATAAAAATGAGCCTCTTCCAGTTTTCCATTGGCTATTAGCCATCGTGCTGACTCTGGGAGCCACCTAGAGAACAGGGCAGTTAATGATTTGAGAAAATTGGACATCCACAAGTCATAGTTACATCTTACCTCCATGTGATCATAGCCAGTGCGATTGGAGCAGTTACTGTGAGGATCAGAGCCCTCCAGTCATTCACAAGATAAGCAACGCCTGATAATATCATACAGCTGAGAGACCAATCCAAACTGATCATAACACCAGCAATCGTCCTATGTGCAATATCCGCCCATTCTATGCCTGAGGAAATATAATGTGTATTCTTTAAAATAAACTCACAACATAAGTGGGAAATTCTGCAAGTATGGTGGAACTGACTTGATAGCATATAGTGTATGCAGAAGGACTTTTAATTTTCAGCAACCCAGTTCAAACAGTTACAAAATTACTGTGTTTAAGGTCTGTTTTCTTAAAAAATCAATGATCTTCACTGCCTGATTGACATATGATACAAAATATGCATGAAGCACTGCATCAAAATCCGTTGTTGCTTGTCATGTCATTAAAATATGGACATTTATTTTACCAAAATATTTTCAATGGAGTTTCTGCTCTCACTTACTGCTCCTGATGTGGCTTGTGTTTAAACTGCTGTTCATCTTTTGCTATTTCTCCCGGAAAACGTCCAAAATTTCACCCCGCCCCCGGTCCTCAGCTTTTTGGTACACAGTCTGTAACACCACCGGATTACAGTGGCCACCCAAAACCCGATTCATAGTACAGTTACTAACACCACATTACAGTAACCCGGTTCTCATCTGTGTTATTCAGAAAAAAACACTATCACCCTTTCTCAGATTTTCAGTCAAATGTTGGCAGGTATGGCTTTAACACCTAAATGAATGCTGAAGCCTTTGTAACTGATTGTATTTTAATTACATTACAACATTGATGCTGTAACAGGAACTTTATAAAAATTAAATAGTCACATTACTCTTTCACTGGAATTTAATCGGTGTGAAAGTGGTTACCACTTGGTGTGGTTAACAGAAGTGGGAGGAGCTGAACAAAGACATCACCATGCAGCCCAAGACTATTTACTCACTGAAGCTAAGCAGGGCTGAGCCTGATCAGTTCCTAGATGGAAGACCAAATTAGAAAGCTAAGTTGCTGTTGAAAGGGGTGTTAGTGAGGCCAGCAGTCTGCGGTCTGTGTGAGTCCTGATACCCCAGTAAAAGTGAAGGGGACACCATTCTGTCATTGAGTGCTGTCTTTCAGATGAGACGTTAAACCGAGGTCCTGACTCTCTGTGGTCATTAAAAATGCCATGGCACATTTCATAAAAAGTAGGGATGTAACCCTGGTGTCTTGGCCAAATTCGCTCCATTGGCCCTTACCCTTCATAGCCTCACAATCTCCCCATCCACCGAATGGGCTCTATCACTTTCTCTTTATTTCACCCATAGCTGGTGTGTGGTGAGCGCACTGGCGCCGTTGTCCTGTGGCTACCGTCACATCATCCAAATGGATGCTGCACACTGGTGTGGGTGTGGAGAGACCCGCCTCATGACTGCAAAGCACATTTGGTGTATGGTCATACACGATAAATGCGCTACATAAATACACACATTGCATTACATTAAATGTGTGTGCTGCATGCTTTGCTTACTACTACTCTCTGATTGGTGGAATTTTATGTACAACTTTATGGGTAATGACTTTTTTGATATTAAGAAGATGGTTTAACAGCCACAATGCAAAATAAGACTGATTAAAACCGACTTTTACCGTTTCTGACAAACTGTTTCTTTTTAGCCAAAACTATTGTAAGTTATTTAATTGTTCTTTCATTGAACAAAGGTGTTCATTCAGACCATAAAAAAAACATTGTTTGTGAAGTAAAAGTAAATATGAAGAGTTAACATGCAAAAACCTCTAAGTGCCATCTGAAATTTCCAATGAAAATAAGCATTTTTCTCAGACTCCAAAGTTTATGTTGGGTTATTTCATTTTTAACACCTTTAAAAGAGTGTATTCTTCACCATAAACTCGAAATTACTGAGCCTACAGACAGGAGTCTGCATAAAAATGCACATTTTTTTAAGTAACTATCAAATGGCTGAGATTTTTTGCTTCTGAACTCTTCATATGATTGCAAATAAATACAGTGAATTAAATATATTAATTATAAAATACATATGAATTAATCTGTCCAGGTTCAGTCATTTCAAAAAGCACTCACACAGGACAATGGAGATGATGCTGATGCCTGTAAGGCCCATTCCAGTGAAGAACCTCATAATAGCAAACACGATGAAGGACTGAGCGAAGGCACTGGCCACCCCAAATGTAATGGATATCAGGTAAGCCAACATCAGCATTCGTTTCCTACCAAACCTGAAACAAACAGAAACAAAACATAGGAGAGAATCTACAATACTGTATGTGTAACATGCTATGCCAAATGCTAATTCGTGTAGAGTTTAAAGTTACATATAGTAATGCATTCTAGACAGTCAGTTCATCTAAAATGATCCTTCATATGGATGTTAGTTTGAAAAGTCTGATTCATTCTCACAAATCGACTACATATATTGTACTTTGAAGTGTTTTTGTCGCACTTAGTACAATTTCACTTATTTGTTTTAGGTACTGTAATTTCATATTATTTGAGAGGTACACTCATTTAATTGGTAGGACAATTATTTGTATACATGTTTTTACATACTAACTTCAGATTATAAATTTGTGGTCATTCATTGTCATTTACTTCACCTCTTGAGGTCTAATATAGGACTCACCTGTCAGTCAACCACCCAAAGATGGCCGCTCCAATCATCACCCCAGCAAAGAAAATGGTCGCTGTGGCTTTATTCAGACCTCTTCTGTCGCACACCAAATCAAACTGAGAGATGAAGACATATCAGAGTTTTTCAGTTTTTTATCTGTGATTTACAGCGATGATCTGAATTAGACACAAGGAAGAATTACAAACTGTTTTATGGCTAAAGTACACTACAAACATTACAAAAGGAGATTACATAAACTGAATGGCCTTTGGTCAAAAATGAATGAATGAATGAATGAATGAATCAATCAATCAATCAATCAATTAATTAATTCATCAATCAATCAATCACTTGAATAAAAACAGCACACTTCAGTTTTAACATCCATTAAGGTTTTTAAAGACTGTGGATACCACACTGAGCATTATTTACAGCATCTAGTTATGCATATAAATAAAAGTAAAGTGAATAAAGAGACTTACCTCAGTAGCCAAGGTTGATTTAAAGGTGCTGTTATCAAAGCGCCATCCATTCTGACACTCCACTACTGGAAGATCTGAGCTGCTGGAGGAGTTTATCAGCAGCTGAAACTGAGGATGAGAAAACATGTGACAGGAAGCAGGAGTCCCGTCTTCCTGTGCTGGAACACCCACAGTCAGTCTCTCCTCCTGAGTCAGATTCCCAAAGATGCCATCAGCACTCAGAGAGCTAATGTCGCAGTGATGAGATGGGATGGCGGCGATAAAGTTGTTCAGCAGGAAGTGACATGGCAGCGTTACCCTTGGAATCACCAGAAGAGCCATGAGGCAGAACTGGTATTTTCCAAATCCTCCAACCTCAGCCAACAGGTTCTCAAACTTCATCTTGGGTGATCAATTCCTCTGATACGAATCAGAAGCAGCAATGAGGGTGATATGGACTTGAGCTTCTCCAAACTTGGACATTCACTGCTCTGATGTAGATCATTAACCTCTCATGTACTGCTATGAAAGACATTCATACGGATTTTTCTTAATCTCTTTTTCACAAACACATACAGTGCACATATAGGTAATGTTTTTATGTTATTTTTTAATTTTTGTAACTTAAACAAACAGCTGATATAATTTACAAACATACATGGATAGTTCAAACTCACAGACTGTACAGTACATTAGTGTTTTCCTCAAGTAAATTAACATCTAACACAATGTTTAAACCATAGTGGAGGGACTGTTAATTTACTAGACTTTTGAATGAATTTCTTACTGCTTAATAATTTGCCAGCGTTGGACAATGTGTAGTCAAACTGAGGGCAAAGGCAGACTATTATATTACATTATATTATATTATATTATATTATATTATATTATATTATATTATATTATATTATATTATATTATATTATTCATTCATTTTGTTTTCAGCTTAGTCCCTTTATTAATCAGGGGTCGCCACAGCAGAATGAACCACCAACTTATCCAGCATATGTTTTATGCAGCGGATGCCCTTTCAGCTGTCACCTATCACTGGCAATAACCTACACACTCTTGCATACACACGCATACACTACGGCCAATTTAGCTTATTCAGTTCATCTATAGCTCATGTCTTTGGACCTATGGGGGAAACCAGAGCACCCAGAGGAAACCCACACCAACATGGAGAAAAAAATGCAAACTCCACACAGAAACGCCAACTGACCCAGCCAGGGCTCAAACCAGCAACCTTCTTGCTGTGAGGCGATTGTGCTACCCACTGCGCCATCTTGACAAGCCATATTATATTATATTATATTATATTATATTATATTATATTATATTATATTATATTATATTATATTATATTATATTATATTATATTATATTAAATTATATTATATTATATTATATTATATTATATTATATTATATTATATTATATATCATATGTGAACCATAATTTTGGTCAATTAAGATGGTGGATTTGATTAAAACTGTAAAAACGGTATTATATTGAGTTAATATTAAAATCTGAAAGAATAATTTTCTATTTGAATGTGTTGCAAAATGTATTTTATTTCTGTGATGCTAAATTTTTTTTTAACAATTTCTTCAGTATTGATCAGAAAATCCTTCAAAAATACACTTTTTATGCTAATTTGACACTCAATAATCATTTCTTATTTTTATCAATGTTGAAAATAGTTGTGCTGCTTAATATTTTTGTAAAAAGAAAAAGTTGCTTCTTGAAGAGAATATTCTCCTTTACTGACAATTTTGAACTTTGCTCAAAGCTTTGCACAGTCATCTGGTGTGATGCAACTTGACAGCACTAGGCTGGGAAAGAGACAATTTGTTGTCACATATTCCTTAAATTCCTTACATATTCCTTAGTTCATTCACCATAATCTGTTTTACTGCCATCTACAGGTTAGGACTGTACATGCAGCAACTGAAATCAGTTATGTTCAGGTCCATCAAAGTTTAGTCAAAGCTTTTTCACAGGAAAAACTTCTTTCAAACCATGCCAGTTAAGTTGAGATAATGAGCTAAAATGTTTACAAAAGAAAAAAAGTTCTGAATGTGACAAGGTATTTTGTGTAGACTGAAAGTTACAGAATATGGAAAAGATAAAGAATACACACAGAATATGATTTCACTAATAAAAACAGAATCAAATTAATTAGATATACAATTGAATCCGAAATTATTTGCCCTCCTGTATAATGTTAATCTTTTTACATTTCTTGTGATGTTAGCACAAAAATATTGGCAAGGATATATTTTTAATCTGGAGAAAATCTTAATCTGGAGAAAGTCTTATTTTGTTTCAGTTTGGCTGAATTCAATCAGTTTTCCATTTTTAAAACAATTTTAGGGTCAAAATTATTAGCCCCCTTAAAATTAAGATTTTTGATTGGTAACAGAACAAACTACTTGTCATCCAATAACTTGCCTATAGTTGACCTTATTAGCCTAGTAAAGCCTTTATTTGCTGTCTCCATGATGAAGACAAAATAAATTAGCTATTCTAAATCAGTTAATGAAACAATTATTTTTAAAAATGTTTTAAACAGCACTCAGGAAACATTTTTTAAATAATAATAGTTTTACAGGAAGGCTAATAATGTTTACAATTTTAACTGTTTGTGTTTTGCTTGCTAATGATTCAGTAACTGCCATCTTTCTTGTTTTTGGTGACAGTTGCTGAATAGGCTCAGGTTGTGGACTGTTGACACCTTCACATCTTATTAACAGGGATATATTCAGGTCAAATTCAGGGATATAATAAGCTGTCCAGGGTACACACAGCCTACATACTAATGCTGGCACTAATGGGTGCTGTCCATGGTGCTGTGTACTCAGAATGAGACTTTGAAAAGAGAGAGACTAACTAAACATCTATAAACCACAGCTACACTGAGCTGACTGCTCTTATAAAGGGATTTCTACACAAAACATTTATTAAAGGCAATTTTTATGCATTAACTTAACATAATTTCAATCACTTAATGCTATCCTTTGATTATAAAAACATATGCATAGACTGCATAGATTATAGTATTTACATCTCATTATTAATCAATTTTACAGATGTACATTATCAACTTCTGTGAACTGATTAATTGTAAGAAATACTGTTGTATACAACAAATTGTGTAGCATTATGAATATAGGTATAGAAAGCTTAGTACAGTATTGGGTAATATGGTTATATTACCAGTTGATATATTAACACAACAGTTATAGAATTAACACAAAATGGAGTACTTGTGGCTGTAAGGGTATCCGCTGTGTAAAACATATGGCAGAGTTGTTGGCAGTTCATTCCACTGCGGCATGAACGTTTAATAAATTATTATTATGTTGTCATTCATTCATCATCACCCTCAACTGCAGTATGTATGCAAGTAGGTACTACAAAAATACAATATTTGCCTAATACTACTGTATACAGAAAGTGTTCCCATCTGTTCCCATGTCATTTTTTTAATTAATTTGTTATTTAATTTCTAAACACGAAACAGGCTTATTCGATATTTCCTCACACACATATTTTATTATCTCTGGCAGTGTTTTTAGACTTTAAATCAGACCAGATTGGAGCACAGTGTTCAACTCAACAGACAAACAGTAAAATACCTGAAGCAGAAAACTTTAAAATACATTATTTTTTGCACTTCAAGTTACAGAAACATGCCTATCAACTCATTGCCTGAATTGTAAGGAGGAGCGTGGTCTCAAAATTAAAATCAACTGATGTAGACAAAATCACAGAAGAGTTTCAAAATGGATCAGCCATTCAGAATCAAGGAGAAGCAGATTTATTTATTTTTAAAAGTTGCACTGATGACATTTCTTTAATCCTACAGGTAAGAAAGCAAGTAAGACAGTCTGTACTATCATTAATTTTATTGATTATTGATGTCAAGTACAGCTTATGAGCAAATGACAGCTTGTCTGTATCAGATTATTGTGTTGTGTCTGCTGTGAGGGGCAACTTTAAAGGCATGGCACTTTGATCCGCTGTTGTGAAATAGACAGGTTTCTTTCTACAAAAGATACATAATAAGGAAAATTAATAAACAAAAAGACAAACAACATACTGTAGCACACTGTAAAATATTTTATGATAAATTTTTTATGACACCATATGTTTTTAGTTCATTGTTACTTATTAATTTAAGTTAATAATGTTCTAACCTAATTTTATAAATTACGCAATTACGTTTTAAGTCAGTTTTACATAATATAAGTTAAATAGACTCATAAAGTTAATTTGATTTAACAAAGAAACAAACAAACAAAAACAGCAAAAAAATACTTTCTATTGTATCACAAAATGTACTTTGAGAGAACTTCTTATACCTCATGTCCTCAATATCTTCTACAGTTTCTGGCAGACTTGCATTGTTGGTTTCAGGAAGAAGCAATGCTATGATACCACAAAAAATAGCCATCGAGCAAAAAATAACCTCAGGGAGGAGCTTCCAAATGTCTTCTAGGAGCATAATAAGAGGAGAAATGGATGCTCCCATACGTGCCATGAAATTGGTGAAGCCAAGACCATTCTGCCTACCAATGTGAAAGACAAACGGCAGTAGCATTTCCAACATCAATTGAGTTAATCATTTATAAAGGGACATACAGCATTATATGCTGACCTCATGACTGTAGGATAGAGCTCAGTGGTGTACAAAATCACCGTCGTAAATGAAGCCTCTGATAGTCCTTTCCCTAACACTGCAATTACAGTCCGAAATGTCCAGTATTCTAAATACAAAAACATAATCATGGAAAAGAGTAAGTCAGTAAGAGTAAATCAGGCTACACTTTTATTTGATGTCTTATATGATACAATTTGAAGGCGTAAATTAACAGAAAACAACCATGAATCACAAAATACTGGAAACTGTTGAATTATTCATGAATCAATTTTTAAGTGTAGATTCTCTGTTAGTTAAAAACAGCATTGACCATAATGAGAATGAGAAAAGTTGTGATAATGAAAAAAAGGTCTTCTTTCAACTAAAATAAAATACTTTTGCTATTAAACTATTACAATTGTTGTAACTATAACAGCTGATAACTATAAAACATAAGTTGTGATAATTAGGTGGGATACTAAGTACACTCAAAAAAATATGTTTACTGTTTGTTCAAACTACTTATTTAAAACGAGCTGAAATTCTTGAGTTCCTAAATTCTTGAGGGTTTTTTGGGGGACTAAACTTAATTGTTTTATGTTCAATGCACTTAAATTTGTAAAAACTAATATATTAATTTAATTTCTTCAAGTTGTCCCAAATCAAATTGATTATGTGGATCGAAGGCTGAACGTGTGAAACGATGCGTCCAAAATGGCATATACTTCCATACTATATAGTACACTAAAAACAGTATGTGAGCCGAGTAGCATGTCCGAATTCATAGAATTCG